AATGAATTGTGGGGATGTCAAAAATTAGAATTACTTGAACAGTATAGTTGTATACCAATAGATAGTATTGATAAAAGCATACATATAGTTCCAAGATTTGATAAAACAAATGAATATTTAGTAAATAATTATATATTTTAATTTTAATTTATGGAATCAAATAAAATCGATTACTATTGAAATTAATTATATTGTTTTTTAACAATACATAATTTTTATTGTTAAAAATTGAAATTTATTTACTAAATAAAATATGATTTATATCAATATTGATATTAATCAATTATAAATAATTTTTTTTTTGATATTAATCAATAGTCAATCAATAATTGTTAGTAATCGATTATAATTAGTTAATTATTAGCGATTATTGGTTGACTATCGATAAATAACTCTCTAAAAATTTTCTGATGTAAATAATATATAAATAATTAACAAATAATTAATTAGTGAAGAATTAGCAAATAATTAATGAATAACTAGTGAATAATTATACAAATTTTATATTTTTTATATTTTTAATAAAATTTATCAAGTATTAATTAAATTTTGTCAATTATTATTATAAATGCAATTTTTCTATTGAAAATATACAATTTGATTTTACCAAAATATATAATGCTAAATAATTTTGTTGAATGCTATAATTTTTATTACAGAATGTTATAACTTTATTATTGAATATTTTTTAACTAGAAATATTTTTTTGCCAAATGATTTTATTGTCAAATAATTTTTTTTTTGCTGAATGATTTTTTTGCCAAATGTTATATATTTTTTTGCTGAATTATTGGATTTTTTTTAAGTGCTAAATGGCATAAATTGAATCAAATAACAAAACTTCAGTATAAACTTTTATTAATAAATTTGGATTTAATTGGCTGTAATTTGATAGCTGAATAATCCAATTTGGACTAGTACAAACAACATAAGTCTATTAAAATTAATAATAAAAGTTACAGATTTGCAAGTAAACTACAATAGTATTTCTATGAAATTATAAGTCTTTATCTCAACTTTGAAAGAACATTACCTATTGTTGGGATGGAGATGGCGAGTCTGTCGCTTGGGGCAGGTCAAACTCACGTAACGTCGGGGTAGGTTATTCTTCTTTTCTCTACTTGAGACGTGGATTTGACTTGACCGATCTTGAACCTATAATTAACCTTCTTCTTTCCTTAGTCACCCTTCGTCGATTGTTCGAGTCGCTATCCTCTTTAGTGACTACCAGAACGATCCTCTCGCGGCGACGTTACTCTAGAAGGGGGGGGTTAATTACCAACTTCCTTTTTAGGCGCGTCTATCACACCACCACTTTTAGTAATCTTTAATTAACACTTGCACGACCGTTTCGCGCTTCTGCAAGAGTAATAATTTATTATTACGAAATTAAGTTAGAGTTAGAGTTATTCCAATTCTTCTTTTTTTTCTTTTTGCGCTTTTGTCACTTCTATTTATACTACCATGACTATCCGCTACAAGACTATCGCTATGACTCATAAACTATCAGACTATAAAATAAACTATTTAAGCTTTTTATTATGTCTTGAGTCTATTTGTAAAGCATTTCCGTTACTCCGATTAGGTGCGTTACGCGAATGTCGTGTTGCCAGGCCTTACCAAAGCTATTTCCCTGCTAACAATTCCCCTCTGCTTATTTTTGATGTCCTTGACAAAGATTCTCAATGCCCTTAATCCCAGTAAGGACGTAGGATTTTTGTATTAATTGGTGTCGCTAGGACCTTCCCGTCTAACGTTCTTAATTTGTACACGTTATTAGGTAACTGATCATGAACATACAACGGGCCTGTCCATTTATCTTCGAATTTGGCACTTCGGGAGTTTTGCTTGGAGGCGCAGTACATAAGTACTTTGTCTCCAATGTCATAGTTAATGGCTAGACTCTTGCGTTCATCGTGGTGTTACACTTGATCTTCGCCCAAGATCATCACTACCCCTTGTCCGATTTCCACTAGCATTTACCCTTGAAATGTTG